CAGAGATGGTTTGAGGTGTGTATACTTCAATGCTAGAAGTATCGGAAATAGGGCGGATGAACTTAGAGCATGGGTCAGTACTTGGAACTACGATGTTGTGGCCATTAGAGAAACTTGGGTAACTCGGGGACAGGAATGGTTGTTGGGAGTTCCAGGATTTAGATGCTTTAAAAAAAATAAGGAGGGTGGAAAAAGAGGCGGGGGAGTGGCATTGCTAGTCAGGGCTAGTATAGCAGCTACTGAAAAGCAGTTTGAGAATATGTCCAGAGTCAGTTTGGGTTGAGGTCTGGAACAAGAAAGGAGCAGTCACTTTGGGGGTGTTTTTTTTTTTTTTTTTTTACAGACCCCCTAATAGTTGCAGAGAAGTGGCGGAGTGGATTGGGAGGCAGATACTGGAAAGTTGCAGAACTCACAGGGTTGTAGTCATGGATGACTTCAACTTTCCAAATATTAATTGGAAACATATTAGTTGTAATAGCTTAGATGGAGCAGATTTTGTCCAGTGCGTTCAGGAAGGATTCCTGACAGTATGAGGAGAGGCCACTTTGGATTTGGTGCTTGGCCATGAACCGGGCCAAGTGTTAGACCTGTTGGTAGCGATCATAACTCTGTTACCTTTACAATAGTCATGGAAAAGGATGGGTACATACAGCAGGGTGATGTTTATAATTGGGGGAAGGGTAATTATAGTTCTGTTAGGCAAGTACTGGATAACATAAAATGGGAACGGACGTTGCCAGGGCAGAGCAGTACTGAACTGTGGAGATTGTTTAAGGAATGCATACTGCGTGTGCTCGATTATGTTTGTCCCGAGCAGGCAGGGAAGATGCAGCTGAGTGAGGGAACTTTGGTTTTCAAGAGAGGTCGAACGACTGGTTAAGAGGAAGAGGGATGCTTATATAAGGTTTAGGAAACAAGGAACGGAAAAGGCTGTAGACAGATACAAGTTATCCAGGAAAGAGCTGAAGAAGGGGCTTAAGAGAGCTATGAAGGGGCATGAGAAAACCTTGGCAGATGGATCAAGGAAAACCCCAAGGCTTTTTACACGTTCATGAGGAATAAGAGAACGGCCAGAGAAAGGATAGGGCCAATCAAGGATTGTAAAGGGAATTTGTGCATGGAGCCTAAAGAGGTAGAGGTCCTTAATGAATACTTTTCTTCGGTATTCACAACTGAGATGGACCTAGTTGTAGAGGAGGACAGTGTGAAACAGGCTGGAAGATTGGAGAGAGGCAAATGTCATTCCCTTGTTCAAAGAAGGGAATAAGGATGATCCCAGAAATTACAGGCCAGTTAGTCTTGCGTCAGTGGTGGGCAAATTATTGGAAAGGGCTCTGAGAGATAGGATTTATGATCACTTGGAAAAGCACAGTTTGATTCGTGATAGTCAGCATGGATTTGTGAGGGGTAGATCATGCCTCACAAACCTTATTGAATTCTTTTGAAGAGGTGACCAAACACGTGGATGAAGGTGGAGCAGTGGATGTGGTATATATGGATTTAAGTAAGGCGTTTGATAAGGTTCCCCATGGTAGGCTCATGCAGAAGATAAGGAGGCATGGGATGGGGGAAATGTGGCAGATTGGATTCAGAATTGGCTGACCCTTAGAAGACAAAGGGTGGTAGTGGACGGAAAATATTCAACATGGTGCTCAGTTACGAGTGGTGTACCACAAGGATCTGTTCTGGGCCCTCTTCTATTTGTGATTTTTGTAAATGATTTGGATGAAGGAGTGGAAGGGTAGATTAGTAAGTTTGTGGACAATACAAAGGTGGGACAATGCGGAGGGCTGTTCTAGGTTACAAAGGGACATTGATAGGATGCAGAGCTGGGCTGAGAAGTGGCAGATGGAGTTTAACCCTGAAGAGTGTGAGGTGATTCATTTTGGAAGGACAAACTTGAAAGCAGAATACAGGGTTAACATACAGATCCTTGGCAGTGTGGAGGAGCAGAGGGATCTTGGGGTTCATGTCCACAGTTCCCTGAAAGCTGCCACCCAGGTGGATAGAGTTGTTAAGCAGGCGTATGGTGTGTTAGCTTTCATTAGTAGAAGGATTGAGTTCAAGAGCCGTGAAGTTATACTCCAGCTATACAAAAGCCTGGTTCGGCCACATCTGGAGTATTGTATCCAGTTCTGGTCGCCCCATGACAAAGATGTGGAAGCATTGGAAAAGGTGCAGAGGAGATTTACCAGGATGTTGCCTGGAATGGAGGGAAGGTCTTGTGAGGAAAGGTTGAGAGAGCGAGGGCTTTTCTCTCTAGAACGACGAAGGATAAGCGGTGACTTGATAGAGTACAAAATGACCGGAGGTATAGATACAGTAGACAGCCACAGAGACTTTTTCCTAGGGTGGAGGTAGCTATTATGAGGGGCCATAATTTTAAAGTGAGTGGAGATAGATATAGGGGAGACGTCAGAGGTAGGCTGTTTACTCAGAGTGGTCGGGGTGTGGGATGCATTGCCGGAGAGGGTAGTGGAGTTGGCCTCATTAGGGGCATTTAAGCGGCTATTAGACAGGCATATGGATGATCATATAAGGTAGGGGTAGAGGTTAGATAGACCTTAGGATTAGGGTAAAAGTTCAGCACAGCATTGTGGGCTGAAGGGCCTGTACTGTTCTATGTTCTAATGTGAAAGGGTTAGGATGGAGGTGAGGGGGGTGGGGTGTGTAGCACCCCCTGCGGTTGCAGGGAAATGTGCCGGGGGTGGTGGGGCTAGTAGGGAGTGTGGAGCGAACGAGGGAGTCGCAGAGAGAGCGCTCCCTCTGGAAGGCAGATAAGGGTGGGGAGGGAAATGTATCCTTCATGGTGGGGTCAGATTGCATCTGGTGGTGAATGATGCGTTGAATCCGGAGGTTAATGGGGTCATATGTGAGGACAAGGGGAATTCAGCGTTTATTTCTATCGTGGGGAGGGGGTGTGAGGGCTGAGGTGCGGGAAAGGCAAGAGATGTGGTCTCTTGACCACTGCAGGGGGTGGGTGAAGACTGCGGTCCTTGAAACGAGGTCATTTGGGATATCTGGGAGTGAAATGCCTCCTATTGGGAGCAGATGTGGTGGAAGCGGGGGGGATTGCATTCTTGCAGGAAGGCAGGTGAGAGGTGTAGTCTAGGTAGCTGTGGGAGTCAGTGGGCTTGAAATAGATATCAGTTTCAATGTAGTTACCAGAGATGGAGATAGAGGTCCAGGAAGGAGAGAGAGGCATCAGAGGGTCCACGTGAATTTGAGGTTAGGGTGGAAGGTGTTAATCAAGTTGATGAACTATTCAGGCTCCTTGTGGGAGCACGAGGCGGCGCCGATACAGTCATTGATGTAATGGAGGAAGAGGTGGGGGGATAGTGCCAGTGTAGCTGCGGAAGAGGGACTGTTCCACGTGTCTTACAAAGCGGCAGACCTAGCTTGGGCCAATGCGGGTACCCATGGCCACCCCTTTCGTCTGTAGAAAGTGGGAGGAGTTGAAGGAGAAGTTGTCAAGGGTGAGGATGAGTTCAGTCAGGCAGATAAGGGTGTCGTTGGAGGGGGACTGGTTGGGCCTGCAGGAGAGGAAGAAGCAGAGGGCGTTTAGGCCATCTGCATGGGGAATGTACGTGTACAGGGATTGGATGTCCATGGTAAAGATGAGGTGTTGGGGGCCAGGGAATCAGAAGTTTTGGAGGAGGTGGAGGGCATGGGTGGTGTCCTGGACATAGGTGGGGAGTTCCTGGACCACTGGGGGAAGAAAGAGTCGAGAAATTCAGTGGGGCAGGAGCAGGCAGACACAGTGGGTCGGCCAGGGCAGTCAGGTTTATGGATTTTGGGAAGGAGATCGAAATGGGCAGTGTGGGGTTGGGGAACGATGAGTTTGGAGACTGTGGGTGGGAGGTCACTGGAGGTGATGAGGTTATGGATGGTCTGGGAGATGATGTTTTGGTGGTCAGGGGTGGGGTCTTGATCTAGGAGGCGGTGTCAGAGTGTTGGCACCTGGCCTCAGTGATGTAAAGGTCAGTGCGGCATAACACAACTGCGTCTCCCTTGTCTGCGGGTTTGATAGTGAGGTTAGGGTTGGAGCGGAGGGCTGCACTAGTTGTGCCTGAACCAATATGATATACAAATTCAATATCACTTCCTTATTTTTATTTTTGATTATCCTTTGAATAAAACACAGAATTCTGTTTCCATTTTATGGACTTTTATTTTTAGGTTGTATAGCTACACTGCTGGAACTACCTGCTTTTCTGTTTTTAGAATTTAGAATGTGGTTCTCTAACCCAGTGTGTCCTGCTTCATATTTCTGTAGAGAATGTTCTCTTCCACATCCCCTGAATTAACTATTTTCTTTGGGAATCTACATGATCTCCTCTTGCATTTTACTACACTTCATGCTATTTACAACTAATTTCAAAATTGTTCTGTTTTTGCGATTTATATCAATCTAACTTGTACAAATAGTACATGAGGTCTCAGGTCAAATCCCTCCGGTACATTATTGATGTGATTTCAATCTGAATTTCAATGTGTTGGAAGCCTAATTCACTTTATTTTTCTGCTGTACTTTGTTGCCATCAGTTGTTTGATTGCAGCATGGATATTTTGTAATGATGATTAAGGGCTTTCTAGTCAAGAAGCTAAACTGACAGCTAGTGATGACAACAATTGTTTAATATTCCCATATTCCATGATATGCAAGATGATCTCATTAATCAAAGATTTAAGTAGGATAAACAGTCCAACCATGTGCAGGTTGGGTGAGACAGCATGTGATGATGCTTGGAGAACAAGTATTTACAAAGCCTTTTTGAAATTATGGAATACCATGGATTCTATACCTGAGCCTCAATGATCTAGTTTAATTTAGATGCATAATACAGTCAAATCATTCACCTGAACACCAAAACATAGGCCCTATTAATGGACAAGAAATACAATTGATTCCAAAATTAAGGATATATTCTGAAGCTTATCTTTAAACGTGCAAGAATAAATGTTAAAATTGCTTTATTTTCTTGCTACCTTAATTGTAGGTTTCAATAGTGAGCAGACTTCTCTCTGAAAATCCCAGTCTGGTGAATGTTAAAGATGATGACAACTATACACCACTACATAGGGCTGCCTATAGTGATCATATAGAGGTTGTTCGTGAGCTGATAGCTCATGGAGCTGATGTGCATGCTCGCTCTATCGATGGCTGGACACCATTGCACAGCGCCTGTAAATGGAACAATGCAGCAATAGCCTCATTTCTTCTACAGCATGATGCAGATATCAATGCCCAGACAAATGGCTTGCAGACTGCATTGCATCTTGCTTCAGGAAGTAAAGACACAAAGGAAACAATTGAATTGTTATTAATGAATCGCTACATTAATTCAGATTTGAAAAATAATTTGCGTGAGAAAGCATATGACATTGCTTGGAGAACAAGTATTTACTATTGCCTCTTTGAAATTACAGAACACTGCACAAATTCTGTACCTGAGTCTCAATTATCTAGTTTAATGTAGATCTATAGTACAACTGTACCATTTACCAAAATGTATGGCTAATAATTGCCAAGAAACATGCTTGATTCAGAAATTAAGGCTATATTCTGAAGCTTGAAGCAGTATTTCTTTCTGTTAAAGATGACAATTTTTATGTATGCAAATTAGTTGTAACTTCAGAAAATATCATACCATTTTCAGTGGAAGAATGCAAATATCCTTTCTGTTCATCAATGTTTGCATTTTCTGTTGTGAGGGGTTGCAACCAATTGTCATCTCATGAGATGTTCAGCTGAAATCCTGTTTGCTGCTTCAGCTGGACATTAAGTGGCACGTAGCACTATCTCAGAACAGCATTCAACATCATACGATCAGATTATCTGGTCATAATCACGTTGCTGTTTAAAGGATCTTACTTGCATAAAATGGCAGATGCATATTTACATTGTAACAGTGACTGTTTCAAAAGTACTTAATTGACTAAGGCATTTTGTGACCTGTGTTTGTGAAAGATACCACCTAAATGCAAAATTTTATATTACTTTGTGATCTTACTCCCTTTTCCAGGGATAGAAAATAGAGAAAGTTTGAGTTAATCGGGAAAGTGAAATTAAGGTCCAAGTAAGGCTATGGCTGATCTGACTGATGGAGAAGGCTCAAGGGACTAAATGACCTTCTTTTATTATCTTCTTTAAGAGACTATAAGGTTGCTGCTGTGAGAACCAGAAAATGTTCCCAAAGGTGCTCTTTCAAAAGTGGGGTTGCCATACTTACCACTGACCACCTGCAGGCAAATGGAATATTTTTGAAGTATTGACAGTGTTGAAATGTAGGGAAATAAATTGAATATTCAATAGCAGCTCTAGTTTTTTTAAAATCCTATTTGTCATTTTTGAAAGTTGGTTTAAAAATGCTGTATTTTTAAAGCATTTAAGAGATGTTTTATTCATCATGGATTTTTCAAAGTATCTTCTGGTAAAATAAGAAAATTTATGACTAAATATTGGAAAGTGAGTGACAAAGTTCACTAAAATGTGATACTTCAACATCAAAACCCAAAAAATTGTGGGTTTGAAAAATGCAGCTAAAGAATCAAATCTGTCCAAAACATCTAAATAAAATGGCATCATGTACTAGACTCTTTTTATTATTCACTCGGGAATAAGTGAGGGATCACTCATTTAATACAGGTGAACAAGAATATTTTTCTGAGGGTAGTCAATCTGTGGAATTTTTTTACAGCAGAGAGCTTTCAAAGGTGGGTCTTCTGGGTTAAAATGGATGAATTTTTAATCAGGGAATCAAGTCATGGGGAGATTACTGTCAGCTCACTTTTTGGTTATTTTTCACAATGAGCAGCTGTTGCCTTTCTAATGTAGATGCAATGCTTCTACATTCTAGATAGCTGTTTGCATAGGTGCTGATAGCAGTTTCCTTTCTAGTGACATGTACTACATGGTTTCATTGTTTTCCATGTCTTTAATAACCTGGGCCACCAAAGACAGTATCTTGTTGGTTGTGCATTAAACACATCCCTAGGTGATGATTATGGAGCTGAAATAGCACCTTACATCTATACTTTCTAGTGATTACTCCTCTGACTCCATCATTGACATAACTTTTAATAACTATTATTCTGGCACATAGGTTAATTTTTTTATCTCTGTGAGCCAACCAGTTTCATCCAGAAATTACACTGTCAATGCAATGATTTTCCAAATGTTTGCATTTGATGTCTTACACAAGACAGAAAGAAAATCAAAGCCCAGCTCTACAGTGAGGTTGCAGTCTTATGGTCTGTTATGATTGTAAACGATGGTTAAAGTACTTATGAAATCTACTTACTCCAAAAATCAAGGACAATGCTTCACATTATAGCTGCACGTAATTTCATTCCCAGATTCTGAGGGGGTGAGGCAAATACAATTGGTTTCTTGTCGCCACTAGCGAACATGAAAGATCATATCATCTACGCCATATAAGGACACATTACGGGCTAGCTTCACAAGCTTAATACTCTCTGCAAGTTGACTTTTACACAATTTTTGAATTCTTTGTCACATTTCTTAGAATTCAACAAAGGAACGCTCTTCCTTCATTCAGTGAACAAAATGTTACCAAATTTGGTATGAATTTTCTGTGGTAATTCTTGAAGTACAAAAATATTCAACCTCAGAAATGTTTTGAGGGGAATGGTGCATTTCTTGTCATTCTTATTTTACCTCATCAGTGATGACTCGATGACCTTTACAGAGTTTTGAAACATTTCTCATGTGTGTGCCTTCATCTGACTCTTTTCCACCACCCCCCACCCCGCCACAAGGCTTTGCCGAACTTTGGAGCACCTGTTTCAGTCTGTCACCATGGCCCTGCCTGTTTGGAGCTAAAAGTAGTACATGATTTAAATAGCACAATATTCCCTCCCTCCTTTGCAGAATTTGGGTCATCATCCCTTGGAAATTTTAAGGGCTAAAGAAACACCAAATGCAGCCTACGGAACTGAAATAGTCCCACGTGTGTATTATTACCCAACTATGGCACACTTGCCATCTTATTCAAATTTTAAACAGGCATTATCAGATCATATTTCAATATAGATTTGGTACAGGTATGCAAATAATGAGGATCTGGCCAATGTAGAAGAAAGGCATTTTCCTACACTCAAGACAATTAATCCAGAGACCGCAATAATGTTCTGGGGACCCAGGTTTGAATCTCGCCATGGCAGATGGTGGAATGTGAATTCAATTGAATGATAGAATACTCCCCACCTGCCTGGATGAGGGCAGCTCCAACAGCAGCCCAACAAGCTTGACAAAGCCCCAAGGCAAAGCAGCCAGCTTGATTGGCACTGCATCCACAAGTGTTCACTCTCTCCACCACCGACACTCAGTAGCACTAGTGTGTACTATCTACAAGATGCATTGCAGAAATTCACCAAAGATCCTTAGACACCACCTTCAAGTTCCCCTCAAGCCATTCACCATCCTGACTTGGAAATATATCAGCGTTCCTATACTGTTGCTGGGTCAAAATCCTGGAATTTCCACCCTAACGGCATTGTGGGTCAACCTAAAGCAGGTAGACGGCAGCAGTTCAAGAAGGCAGCTCACGACCACCTTCTCGAGCGACGAGGGACAGGTAATAAATGCTGGCCAGCCAATGACGCCCACATCCCACAAAATGAATTTAAAAAGTAGCAAAAGTCTGGTCTTGATGGTGGAAGGATCAACATGCAGAAGAGACAAACTTAAGGTACTGGCAAAAGAAGCAATGGAGATTTGATGGGAAACCCAAATGTGAGGTCTGTACTCTTGAATTTATTTGTTGGTTTCAATGAACATGGTTTTTGCTTCAACAAAAAAAGAATTTGCTCCAATTTAACTTGAGGGCTGCAAACTCATTTCATTCTAAAAGGTTGGTTTCACACTTTTAGCAACAATTGGGACAATTTTGTGCATTGCTAATTGTATGTGATTGCAATCAACACTCTTCCAGTTATAAGAATTTTTCTCTCCTCCGTTACTGCATGACTAATAAGTTTTCCAACTGTCATTAACTCAAGTTTTCACAATACAGGACTGAGAAATCACAATAACTAATGTGTCTCTATTTTGCATCTATGTATACCAAAGCTCCAACATTATTTCAAACGCAACGTATTGAAATGTTCCATTGGACATTCTTGCGCTTCTTTCCGATTGTATGAATCTCAAATAACACTTATCAACCTGCTGCTGTTAAACAGTTTCCTCCTGCTCGCATCTTCTCTGTGACCTTCTTGTGGCTTTCTTTGGCAAGGTGACCACTTGCAACTGTAGAACTCTGCCCCTAAACGCTAGTAACAGAACTTAGTTGTATCAGTGCTACTGACCAGTTGGACTCTATCCATTGTCTCATTAATAATACCTGCATAACTGCTACAACCTTCTGTTTTTGGGGCGTTATGCTTACATATCTCCAGAATGTTTACTTCAGCACATGGCTGATGGTTGTTAACTCTAGTTTATTTGAGTCACATTCCCTTGTGTCCAGGGGCATTTCTGTTTGATATATTTGAAAATTTTCTGCAATTGCAATGAATTACAATTACAATCGAGGCCAGAAGAATAGGCAATTCATTTCCGGTTCCAAAGGAATGGCTTTCTTCAATCTCCAATGGCTTGAGATTGCAGTGCCGCTCAAGCTTTTACAAAACATCCTTCTGCAGCATGTTGTTTTTCCTGGGATGAACAAATTCCTGAATGTCCCATACACTTCTGGGTCTTCTTCAGTCCCCTTTCATTTCTCACACTGCCTGGTTAACAGCTGAAATATCCAAGCCTTCGAGGATATTGTTAACAATGTACAGCATGCCACTCCATTGTAGGCATCTTGGGTTGTACATGTCAGTGAACTAACCTGGGCAACTACACCATGCATATATTTTGCTTCATGGCTCTGATCTTAGCTATTGATCCGACCTCCCCTGCCCTCAGACCCAACTGGCCACAGCACCCGTCAGTACCTCAAGGAGGCAGCAGAAGATTTGGATGCTATCCATGTCCAACTGCCCCTTCAAGCACCGGCTCAATTCCCTGTCACACCTGAAACAGCCATCTCCATGTAAAGTCACAGGCCAAGGCATGGCTGCACCTTAGAGGCCATTGTGCCCTCCATGCATGGTTGGCATTGTCAATTAGGCATGACAATTGGTCCAAGTACCTGATTTCTATTTAAAGATTCTGGATTCAGGCTAGACCCGGGATCCTGAACTACAAATGAAAATCCCAGTCTTAGTGATCCAAGCCCAGCTTTATGTGGACTGGGGATTTCCTTCTCTTTCTCCCTGTTTCTGTCTCTCCCTCTCCCCCTAGCCCACCCCATCTTTCTCTATCTCTTTCCTGTCTTTTCTCACTCCTTTCCCCAGCTAGATGTTGTCCACCCACTGACACTCAGTAGCCTTGCTGAAGGTAGATCCAGTAATCATCCCTATTAATGTCAATGCAATCTGCAGCCTCTGTGACCAGTGCCTGGTCCCTACTAAGAGCCAGTCCAGTTTTCTTTTTGAAAATGTGCAGTCAGCACTTTCACGCAAATTAGTTACTAATTCCTTTGGGGAAAGAACTTTCTAGCATTATCCTATTCTTACTTGTGCTTTGTTTAACTCTTGTATCTGAGCCAATCAAAAACTTTGCAAGCGAATCCTGTCATTATTTCCTATCTGTTATTCAGTACAGATGTTTCTCCTCAGACATTTACATAGTAATATTCCTATTGGATATGAAACTGTTGAAATTGAAAATTTGAATTTCATACCCAAGCACACATTTAAAGGTACATTAGGTGCTCACAGCTAATGTAGGAAATATAATCTATCAAATTTACTATTGTGTTTCTGTTAGTCTTGCTTTAACTATCTTGCACGAAAGCAGCCTGAAATGACATCAAGGTTAAAGATATTCTGCTAATAGCTGGATTAAAGTGCAGGAGTGGTATAAATTTGACTGAACCATGATCATAAAATGAATGGCAATACAGTTTTATCTCTAATTTACTTTATTTTCTTAATTCTAAAATGGAAAAATAACATAGCAGAGTGAACGTTCTGCATAATAACGTACCTTATGGAAATTATGCCATAGCTTCAGGTTTATATTAGATAATGCGAAAAGACTAAGCTGATTCACAGCTTTACAGATGTTCGGGGTCAAATGACAGAATTCAACATTTGGTTTCAAAGATTACATTATGTAGTCTCTAACAACTGAATATAAATGTGAAACGTGATTGCTAATCACCTACTGTATTACAAATAAAACTTAGGACCCCTTGTTCCATTTGAAACTAAATTCTATTCTGTGATAAGATGGTTTTGTTTCTTGTTTTCTCTCCCTTAATTTGTCGAAGGATGAAGGTTATTTCCAGACATGTAATATAGTTTTGGAGAAATCATATCTCACGGTCTTTGACTTTAAGGCTGAGCAAAGTAAAAGTATCGTTAAATTATGCTTCTTTAGTTGGTGCAATTTATATCTATAATTCTGAACTTTTCTACACTAAAGCTGTTTTTATAGAATGGTCCACCGAAACATTCACAAGATATGCCTATGATCCAGAGACAAAAGCTACAAGAAACAAAACTAATATCTTTTGC